AATATTAATTTATTTGATTCTTTATATTATGTATTCATGGTTAATATATAATCGTTTCATTGAAAATTTCGAGAGCACATTTTATTGTACTTCAAATGAGTCATCACGAGGAGTATTGACAAATAGCACTTATATATCTTGTCTATAAGAATTTATGTTTCTGTGAAATAGTATGCATTTTCCAGACGTGCACGCGATTGATGTGTCATAGTAGCTTATAATCATAAGCAATAGACCACGTAACTTTAAACGATTCCGCTAAACATTTAACGAAAAATAACATAAGGATTATATCACACCTATATAATTGTGTGTTTATATAATCGTATGCATCATCTTTCCTAGATTTATGAAGATAAATTGGATCGATGGTCCAATTTATAAAATATCAATAAATTCTTCAAACTTAATAATTGCAACTAAATGTATAAGCTATTGATAAATAATTTTCTGTCATTCAATAAACTTTAATCAGCTGAATTTTAAAGCTTGCACTTTATATTAATAGAAATTCAAGACTTTTTTCGACGATGAGCTAATTTAATTTAGTATACAGTTGTTAAAAGTGATGTAATATTTCGGATGTTTTACTACTCGAATGACTTGAATAAGTAATTATCGAGAGCTTTATTTATCTGTGACGTACATGTTAACAAAACATTTCAAGAAACATTAAATTGCTTTTTATCTCTGTAAACAAGATAAGAAAGCAATGTGTGATATAATATGTACTTTACTTCATTTTCATATTTTTATATATTTTTCCGAGTTTTATTTATTTGTTGGGGGGAAAAAATAAGATATCTATTATATTATAAATAATAAAAGTTTAGCAATATGAACCTATGTCATCAATTCAGAGATATACGTACTGAAAAAAAATTTGTTAACTTGACTAAATCTTTGAACTAAATTACTATTTTATTAATTAAACATATATTATAGTATTTAAGTCATGTTATATTAAATTTAAATATTTTTATATGTTCAATTAACAAAATAATATTTAGTTGAAAGATTTAATCAAGTTAACAAATTTATTTTTCTCAGTGTGGAATATGTATATTTATTTAGCCATGTCTAGATTTTTAATATCAAATACTTTAATAATTAAAATATTTCTTTCTTACTTAATTTGTATTTTTCTTTTCTTCATTAAAAATTACGTTTACAGTAGAAATAATATATAATTGCAAAAATTCGAATAGACAGAAGAAAATCGCGCATGCGAGTCTATCTTCTCTTCCATCAAGACTCGTCGCACTTCGCCATAAGCGTGCACTTTGCGCCAGGTGCAACGATAGCCGCTTTAACGCATCATTGTCACGCCGCGAGACATTACGTAATCGCACGATGATACCTCGAATTGATTGGAGTCCAACGCGACATACGTAATCTCGCGACGATCCAACGGCATCGCATTTGCATCAAAAAGGAAAAAAAAAAGCACACACGCATACGTTTCATGCTCGATCGATGCTACTTACGTTATTGGGCAGCACGGCTGCATTCGCGATGCTGGAGAGAAAATCATGGCTGACGCGGGAGCTCTGCGAGGTCCCGCTGTCGCTTGACACGCTGGAGCTGTCGTACAACACGTCGGAGACGTCAAGCTTCATTCTTGCCGTTCACTTTCGCGGAATCCGCGTGAAAAACTGGGAATCAGAAGGTATAGCGATTATAACCTCTCAAAGATGCTCTCTCGCGATAGGAATGCAGATAAATCCGAGAGTGAGAGAGAGGGATGGGAAAACGGATAAGCGAAGATTGTCCCGGATGAATGTACGTGGAACTCGAAGGCGACACGCACGAATTGCGGGTCCCTTTGCTCGAAACTGTGTAAAACTGCACCCGATGGATGACTCATACGTGGGGGAATACCTCGCGCGCGCGTCTCGACGATCCGCGCTCGGCACCGCGGAGAGAGTCGAGGTCTCTCGAGCGCGAATGACGTCATGGGCTATTCCCGGCCGGCCAATCCCGCTCGAGCGCGACAGTAACGTGCCACTATGTCCGATAACGGGCGCTATCGCGCGTGAAACAAGGGAGTCCGTCTGTCGCGCGGCGCCCGGCTCATTAGAACGATTTAATCACTTCTCATCTCCCTTCTGCGTAATTATTTGCGACTCGATATTTTCATTATATTAAAATCTACGTACAAGGATATTAATGTATCATTGTTTTGAATCTTTGCACGTCACGTATATAATTAATCGAACGAGGATAGAAAATAATTGGTTGTTCATATTAAAAAAGATATATTATAATAAAACAAATATAATATATATATTACAATTGATAAATGATATTATAATAAAAGAATTTGATTTTTTATTGTTTTCTCTTTTTATATAGGAGTGTTTGTATAAAATATTAAGTATATTTAACTCTTTCCTCTCTTTGTTAATTAAAATTTTATATTGAAGAAAAAATATCGAATAAATGTTAGAAATAAAATTTTAGCTATAAACTAAACCATATATATATATATATATATATTTGACGTCTGTGTCAAATACCAAAGATGAAAGTAGCGCCTTATTTTATATCGATATGATAATGTTGCCAAAAAAACAGGCGTTCTATATTTTTTTCAGAACAGGTTGAATTCTGAGAAATCGTTATATCTCGCGTTCAACACTTTATTACTTTCTCCAATCATGTCTTTCGTGATTTTTATGTCGTATAACTTTTGCACCGAATTTTTTTTAAAGAAATGAAGTAGAATAAAAAAACAGAATTTTTTTGTTACAAAAAGAACTTTGTAGAAATGATAACATTTTCGAATTAATATTTCTATTTTATTTTGATCGATGTATTGAATATTCATATATAGGCATTATGATAGCTGTGTCATATTTTACAAGATAATCTTACACTCTCGACATTCTCGCGAAGGACGCATTAAGAGGACACACGTGAGCGTGTGATTTCTTTACTCGAGCCAACAGTTGTTTTCTTTTTACGAATGAAAATAATATGGCCACGTGTTTGTTCGATGTTTATCAAATCAAACGCGAAAGAATGGCGCGTGATCGCGTCTCAAGATAGATCGACTAGATGTGACGTACGTGACATGTTTTATTAGAAGCGAACTGTGTGATTAGACCCATTACATTTAATAAATCAACGATTAAGCAATATCGCGATAATTAGTTATTATTATTATTATTATTATATTCCTTCCCGTTCTTATCTCAGTACGATCCAATTAGCGTATCATCATGGACGTCCGTAGAATTTTTTTCCAGGAAGAGATATGATTAAAATTTTTTTAATTTCTTGTTATTCTCTCCCAATTAAAAAAATTTTTCAATTGTTTTATTACTTTGTTATTTTAATATTTTTCATATTTTATAATATTTTTATATTCAATAAAATTGCAAATAAATTCCAGGATTTATTCATAAAAGCAAATGCTTAATTTTTTTCTGATTTCAAATTCCTCTGCAAATACCCATATATCACGCATATATTCCTATATTTACAATGAATTGATAAAAGATAAAGTATTTTACCTGAATTTTGCCGATGGCATCGATGCTTGGGCGAAAAGTCGGTAGCTCTTGATTGATACGAATTTCCAGCTAACGGTTAAAACCAGTAACGCATGGACGAAAATCTCTGGAGAGTGGACGAGATCCCGAGGAGTGGTAGTGGTGGCTTCCGAGAATCGCGGATGAGTCACGGAACGGTCGCGTGGGCGCGAGCGTCGCGAATGGGGGTAGCCGGAACATATCGGGAACAAGAGACGCGTGACTCACCGATCTGATATGTCGAATATTTCGTGCTCGCAACCTGCCACCTAGACTTAAGGGTGACCAACCTGTTTCACGAGCGCCACCGCCGCAAGCGCCACCCTCTGTCAATTGACATAACCATAGACCGTGGGAGCATGAATTACACTCCACGCGAGATATTTTTTTCTCTTTTTCTTTCTTCACAAAAAGTAGAAAGAGTAAACATTCTCTGTGAAACCTTAAGAGGATGTTGTGTTTTATTGATAAATATTATTTTTATTTATGTGTTTGTTGGCTATAAAAATGAAAAATTCTTTGCTAGAATTAAAGTTTATTTATAATAACAAATTTGGGTTACTATTAATATATATATATAAAGAAAAACAAGAAATCTAAATAATTATAATTACAGTTTTCTCATTAATCTTTTGCATTAGGTCAATCTAATAATCTAACTTAATCGATAAGAAAACTGCAATTATCTAATAATATTCTTGGTTTTTTATGTACATATATAATAGCCCAAATTTGTTATTATTATGAATAATTTAATTCCAGAGTTGAGTAATAATTAGTTAATTAATTAAAAGTTAAAAAGTTATAATAACTTTTAACTTAGCTTAGTACGTATTATTTTTAAATTAAAGTATTATTAATTTTTATATTCATTTGTCATCAATTGTAATTACCAAAAAATATATTTCTATATAAAAATCAAAATTTCTTGGTTATAATTGTTATTATATATTTTAAAAGAATTAACAAACAAAATTCTAATTTAATATAAAAATAATATTTAAAAAAATTTATTTTTGATTTATTAACTTTAGTTAATTAATCTTACCTTAATTTTTTGTTCATGCAACTTTTAACTTAACTAAATTAATTTTATAAGCTAAAAATCATTAGCTTACTAATGACTTAAATGAAAATAATATTTGTTAATAAAACGGACACAGTCAGCATCCCCTTAATCTTTTTCGTTGTTAAAACAGAACAACGAAGTCTGTTCGATAATGTTATTTTTATTTTTTATATTTTACGTGGAGGGAGATAATCTATGCTTTCTACGTCTATGGCTGCGATTTACAAAAATTTCCACCGATGACTTTCTGACAGTTGAAAAGTCTCGGGATGATGGGAGAGCTCGCATGGTTGGTATCCCTCCCCGTGACGCGCCGAAATCGTTGACGATCGGCCAATCAGGTGTCAGCGTGAAGTAGTTGCGTCGTTCAAATTTTTCCCAAGAAAACTGTAATCGTGTGCAACGGTTTCGGCGACTCGGTGCTTCCTCGTTACGCGATGCGTCGAGGGATCGTCGCGTTTCGCGATTATTTCTTCGTTCGACGTGTGTCCCGCGAGTGCCGGGAGTGCCGTGTGAACCGAGTGACAGGTATCGTGCCCATTAATTCCCGATTCGCGTCCGCGAGTGAAGAAACGAGCACGGAAACAATGGGGAGACACCGGTGGTACTTTGGCCGGTAAGTGAAGCCGATACGGTTTTAATTAACCCGTTTTTCGCGTTATTGCGATTAGCCGTGTATTCCCGATCATTGCTGACGTGTGTGAGCGAGTGCTCGAGGCGAGAAAATTGCGAGAGAGAGAGTAATAACGATGGAAAAGCGAGAGTCGAAGTATCGTTTGTTAGAAAAGGACAGCGAGCTCTGTAAAGTGGAGTCTCTCTTTTTCTCTTTCACTTGCTGATAAGTGAAGTCGTATCGCGGCTTTAATTATAACCCGTTTTTAGCATTATTATAATTAACCATGTATTCCCGATTAATGCGTATGTGTGTGAGTGAGTGCTCGAGACGAGAGAAGTGAGAGAGAGAAAGCAATAGCGGTGCAGGAGCGAGAATCAAAACATCGTTCGTTAGAAAAGGATAGCGAGCGCTGTTAAGTTATCTTTCTTTCTCTCTCTCACTTTCTCTTTCTCACTTGCGTGGATACTTTTTATTTAATATAACGGCATAAAATATAAAGAAAATATACCACAGGGGAATAATATAGAATTATGTGATATAATATATATATACACTGAAAAAAATTTGTTAATTTGACTAAACCTTTTAACTAAATATTATTTTGTTAATTGAATACATAAAAATATTTAAATTAAATATATAACATATTATATCTAACAAAACATAAATTTGATTAAAATACTAATATAAATGTTCAATTAGCAAAATAGTAATTTAGTTGAAAGGTTTGGTAAAGTTAATAATTTTTTTCAGCAATATATACAGAAAATATAAAAATATATGAAATATTATAAATATCGTAAATTTTTTTACGAAATTAAAGAAAATTAAAGAAAACACTTTATGAAAATACATTTCAATTATCTTTACTTGTTCATAAGCTATTCTAGCACGATTCATAATTTTAACTATTTATTTTAATTATTTAATTTTTTAAATTACTTTTTTTATACAATTTTAAATAACATCGATAAAACAATTTATTTCTGTGATAACAAAGTCTATAAATAGAAGAACGCTCTTAAATCATAAATAAAAATTTGACAATTTAATTTAATCGCTTATCGCAGCCCAGGTATATCGACTGAAAATTCATCCATCTCTGTCTTGAGATAATTAATACACACACAAACACACACTTGCTGAGTAATTCATGTAAACAGTAATAACTATGCGATTATAATGCACGTAAATGTACAAGCTTCCTAAAGAAGTATTCGTAGTCTTATCTCGATACCACTAATATCACCTAAGAGTATTAAAGCAAAGGAAATGGTAGGTCGAGGAAAACGTCTAACACGTGGATTGCCAACCTACTCAAGGTCTCGTACAATTCTGGAGAACATTTATCAACGATTTTTAAAATAGTTATTTTATTTACGTTTAGAATTTACATTTATAATAGATAGACAGTTATTAGATAGATAAAAAGAGTACAGTTTTTATTGATATTTTTTATATTTTATTGATATTGTTATTTTTTTATTGACTCACTTTTTTCGATAACGATCTACCTTTTTCAATAAAAAAAATTCTACCAAGTAATCTATTGTTATATTCTATCAGTTTTATTATTTGTATTATTTTTTTCAACAAAAAAGGGATCAAATTTCTCTCTCCATTAAGTTAATACTCTCTAAAGTTAATCTTTAAAGTTGCAATTTTTTCCAAATATTCTTGTAATGTGTTAGACTCTGTTAACATTATTGAAAATCAATATATTAATATCGAATGCTTTTGACAACACATAATACTATAATACAGTTTTCCTTAAACACGTGCTCGAAGATGAGCAAATTCGCGCGACGCAAGCAGTTTAAATTAGGGTCACCCAAGCAAGCAAAGTGGCAGAGGACATTAAACGGTAAAGATACATCTAATTACGGGCTCGTAATGAAACTCACGAGAGCTCTGACATTCACCCGCTTAGTTTCGCACCATGATGAAATTCGAATAGATAGACAGCTGTCATCCTTGAGCTAGCTTCTACTTTGCAGCCAAGGTCGCCTCGTCGACTTAAGCTGCCCGCTCGGTATCGCATCTCAAACGATCTGGTCGATTGGAAAAACAGACGGACGCTACGGAATGTCATTGCCATTTAGTATATTGTACATACGCGTATATGCATATCGCATCGTACGCGATCGCGAAACATATATATATATATATACATATACAAGAAACACTCCTGAGTCGAGGGAGTCAGCTGCAAAAATAGAGAGCGCGCACCACTTGCGAAACACACGCGGCAATGCGCAAATTTCAGTGAGAAACTCTTTGTGCATCCAAGTGTATGCTGCACCTACCTGCACACTTATGCTGAAATCGCGGTATCGCGATCGAATCTAATTGTAAGCTAATAAACCGTTCTTCGGATGTCGAAAAATCACAATCATTTTTAAATTCATATGCAGTACAAGTACATTCGCAATATATTTATAATTTAGATCTTGTAATAAAAGAGAACATAACAAGCAGCAACAATAATTAACAATCAAAAATAAACAGGCAATAATAAATTTTTATAATTTTCTTTTACAATTTTTACACTGAAAAAGGAGTTTGGTTGTTTTTCGACGAAACAGAATTGCTGGTTAAAACGACCATAATTCCTTATAATGTAACAAGAATCTGGTTGCACAATTTATTTTAATTGTGCTAACCAAGATTCGTGTTGAATAAGGAATTCTGGTCGATTTAATCAGTAATTCTCTGTTTCGTCGAAAAACAATGAAACTCTTTTTTTCAGTGCATGTATTATCACAGGATGATTAAATATATTTTCTTTGAATATATATAATTCTCAAAAATATTATCTTATAATTTCTCTTACAATTAAATATTTCAATAAGAGAGATCACACTAAGCATCAACAATAAGACTAAAAAGGTAACAATATTTCAGTGATGATTAAAAAAGAGAATTTTCTGTTCTATGTATTGCATAATAATTATTTTTAAGATGTAACGTCTAGAAAAAATATGCATATTTTTATCGCGAATATTAATATCATATATTTGCGCATGCCTAGACAAAGGTTTAATAATGTCAAGTAATTAAAAGCTTATCTCCATGTTCACGAATCACCGATCGCTCATGATCCAGATACAAAGAACGCTATGTGGAATTTTTTTTTTTTTTTTTTTTTTTTTTTTTTTAAGCAACGACAACCTCATCGTTAGTGGCAGAACACACACAGACTCTCATGTTATCTTATCGACATTTGATTTGGATAAAAGAGTTCTGTAGTTTATACATGCATACGCACATATACAAATTGCACCTAATAATAAACGAAACAGCGTAGTATGACAAAGCGAAATATTAATGTTCTTTTCTCTTCATCAGAACATTCCATTATATAAATTTAATTATCTATAATTAAAATGTGTGTAAACATTATAAAAAAAGTTTATTTTATAAATAATTAATTTAATTCAAATATTTATTAATTTATATATTTATTTATTTATTTGTTGCAATTCAATTTTAAGTATCTAAATTTGTAAAGTATACACATTTGTATATAATTGAAAATAGCCAAATAATTTAATATTAAATGGAGAAAAATATTTTTTTCGATGTAAAATGTAAAGTATACACAGTGCAGTATATGTTGTACTGCTAGCCTTTGTTTCGCAAAGTCACGTGCGTGCTCGTCTTTTGATGCGTACGATCGTTCTTCACGATAATTCTGTTGAAACTTATTACTTTTTTTTTCTACTGTTTACGTCGTTCGAGTCACGTGCTCGCTGATTTTGCAATATTTTCTCGGACAAAGCAAGACAAAGAAGGAAGTAGGACGAAGTCGTACTCTCGAACGAACTCTGCTCTCGCAGCTGCAAGAGTAAACCGCAACTTACGCGGAAATTATGGGAAAATGTGACTCAGACAGTGCTCCTTTACTCCGAAAACACGCACGTGCGTGTTCGGTTCATTGTGCAGCGAATGCACTAGACATAAAGTGGACCAGATAACATTACATATGTTCACATCTATAATATACATATATTTGGAATATTTAGTATTATTAAATTTTTCGTTGTATAATCGTTTAGAAAAATGTTTTTCAGATAATATCGAAGGAAAAATTTTAGAAAAAATAAATTTAAAAAATTACTATTATATACAATTCTCTTAAGAACCAAAAGAATCAAGTTACGTAGCAAAATAAAAACGTAGTCTGAAGAAATTGTAAAATTACACTCGTTATATGTATACTAATTGTAAGCTAATTATATAAATATAAATATGTACAAAATATATTTTTATTATAAAAAGAATCAGAATTGAAATTAATAATTAAAGACTTGTATGTATCAAAAACTTGTATGATGCAGTAACAGGAACGAAAAATTGCATTAAACAGCGTAATATTATCGTTCATAAACAGTTAAAAAGAAAAAGAGCTGGCATCTCATTTCAAATTCTGCAAATTCTACACACCCATGTGACAGTGTTGATGAGCGAATACGCGTAGCTTAATGCGTTCATCGCTATGTATGCTTTATTAACAGTCTACCACTTTGTTGCAAGTTCTCGCGTATAGATGTGAATATTAAATTATTGTCCGCAAGAGAGTATTTTACATACAATGGACCCCTATTTTTGGATTAGGCTCCGGACCACACAACAAAGCCCCCGCGGTTCCATTGTTTTCTCAGCTTCGTCTTTTCTGAATAATAAAGTGGGTCGACAAAATTTTGGACGTGTCATTTTTTAAATTTATTAAATATGATAGAGCATGTTACATGTATTCATATGGTGATGTTCTGGATTGATAAACTGTCATATTCTTATATACAGGGTGTTATAAAAGTATCGGAACCCAGTACTTAGCATTTTTTCTCATATTTTTCGAGTTATTTTGCTGTTTCGGTACTTTTATAACACCCTGTATATAGAGAATGCTACTTAATTATATTATATTTTTCAATTAGTAATTTTAAATCTTTATATAACAGTATGTACTAAATACTAAATTGTTAAAGGCATATTTAAAAAAATAATAATTTTTAATAATATAATAAAATTATATGTACATTAGAAAATGGTTGTAAAATTCCAACTAAAGAATTATAAAATTAAATTTTAAAGAAAGTAAAGAAAGGAAGGGCTTATATTTTTATATCTAACTATATATAAATGACAACTTTTACTTTAAAATCACTTTAACTTTATTTAATCGAGAAAACCTTGAAAAATCTGCATTCCTGCGTTCACTTTCAAAAGAAGTATTTTCCCAGGTAAAAACACAATGTCTTTGTTCCCTTTTTCCGTCGACCACTCGACAGATCCATTGTCTTCCGTCTGCAACCTTGATGACAGTTACAAACCGGGACAATATCGAGATTCGTTTTCCATTAACCGCTTGCATAGTAGCAAAAAAGTTTTGATTATTGAGAGGCCTGTATGGAAATAAGGTGCAGCTGTCTAATACTTATATGTTCTTAAAATAATATTAAAAGCTTTTATATAAACGATGTTAAAAATGAATGACAAAAAAAAATAAATGAAAAAAATGAATTTTGATCTTTTAGTCTGACTATAAAAATAAGCTAATCTATATCAAGTGTAATAATTTTGAATAAATAAAATTTAAAATATGTAAGATTTTAGATTGTATTATCGAACAATGAAAAAGCTACGCATTATATAATTTATTTAAAAATATTTTTAAATTTTCTTATTTTTCTTTTAACTTTTATTTATTGAAAAAGAGATCTACAGATTTCACAAATTGTAATTATGTTTGTGCATTTTTCTATCACATTTTTTAAAATTTATTCAAGAAAAAGGAAAAAGAGAAAAAGAATATGGAATGCAAATATATGAGTATATATTTATATATTATAAATACATTTTAATTGTAAAATATTGCTTTCAGAATGTGCTACTATTTTTATAATTTTTATAACTTTTTCTTTCTAAATTTCATTCTAATTTGTAGAAATAAACTGCATAAAGTAGATATATTAAAATCGTAATCACTCACGTAATTATCATGGATGAGTAAGATTTGTTTATATGTTATGAGATAAGGCACGATCTATCATGTTTTACATCGTACTCTCTCCTTTTCTGACAACTAAAGACTATTGTTTGTTAGATGAGTAGATAAATTTTATACCCTTTTAAACGCAAATCAATCTTATGATGCAGAAACATCCATGATGCAAAGGTAATCCGATATAATCTTGTACGTGAGCACTTATCATCATAATACTTAGAAACAGAATGGACCTTGGACCAATTAGAAAGATTTCACTCATTCGCGTTTACAGAAGGACCTATACTACATGTCATTAATTCCAACTTTTTGAAATGTTATATATGTAATATGTTAATACTCCACATTCTAGATAATTAATTCTAAATTTTATATTTATCAAATTGGAGTACATTTAAGTCTGTAATTAGATATATCTAACATTAGTACTGTATAAAGAACATTTATGAGAATAATATTTTATTAAAAATATATCAATCTTTTTCATGAATATACATGATCATAAAATAGTTTATACTTTGGAAAGTTTATATAAAAACTTTATATAATAGATTAAAAAAATTAAAAATATTAATTGGATCCAATAGAATTTTTTGGACAATCAATATTTATTTACAAAAATTATTTAAGACGCACAAATTGATTCGTTTATCACAAGTTGATAACGAAAATGATTACCAACTGTAAATACATAATGTTAACATTTTGCTTGATGCTTTGCATGCATTTATTATGACAAAGTATATACGCTGGATTTTTTCTTTCTCTTATCTTTTATATCTCATAATTACTTATTATTATTTAATATGATTCATATTTAATTCTTTTTTACTTGTTTATCTTGTTTTATTTTCAGTATATCTTTTTTTCATTTTTTCAACAATGTTGTACATAAATAAATATGTGGTGTGTCAGTGTGTATGTCTGATTATATTATATAAGAGTACCTATACATATATACCCGCGTAAAATAATTTTGAATGAATTACAAAACTAATGTCGATCACCTTGATTCATTATTACACGATTATTCCAAGCAAACATCGATATATAATTGTTACATTGCTATAATAAAACGGAATATAACAGGTAATATAATGTGTACGTTACATGTAACATCCATGTTAGTTGTAATTTCCCACTCATAGATGTAACATTTTAATATAACATATATTACATTGTAATTATATATCAAATAGCACATTGACATATTGATAAGTCAGTGCTATCTTGGGATATAATGACAACATAACTACAATGTAATATATGTAATATTAAAAATGTTACATCTACGAGTGGGAAATTACAACTAACATATACGTTACATGTAACATGCTATCATACCATAAGTCAGTGCTATCTTGGGATATAATGACAACATAACTACAATGTAATATATGTAATATTAAAAATGTTACATCTACGAGTGGGAAATTACAACTAACATATACGTTACATGTACTGCTATAAGTCAGTGCTATCTTGGGATATAATGACAACATAACTACAATGTAATATATGTAATATTAAAAATGTTACATCTACGAGTGGGAAATTACAACTAACATATACGTTACATGTAACATGCTATAAGTCAGTGCTATCTTGGGATATAATGACAACATAACTACAATGTAATATATGTAATATTAAAAATGTTACATCTACGAATGGGAAATTACAACTAACATATACGTTACATGTAACATGCTATCATATTATAGTCAGTGCTATCTTGGGATATAATGACAACATAACTACAATGTAATATATGTAATATTAAAAATGTTACATCTACGAGAGGGAAATTACAACTAACATATACGTTACATGTAACATGCTATCATACTATATATCAATGCTATCTTGGCATATAATGACAACATAACTACAATGTAATACATGTAATAAAAATGTTACATCTACGAGTGGGAAATTACAACTAACATATACATGTAACATGCTTTATAACATTTATATACTGCGTTTGCTGGGAATTCCATCTAGAATGATTCTTCCGTTTTTGTTCCAGTTTTATCGACTCACCCGCCACACGACGTTCCTATCACCGCTGTCAGATGTCGGCAGCATTGCAGGCACGCCGCTCGTCAACAATCGATGATGGTTCGTGCCGCGCGAGTCGCGAGTGGTCGCGAGGCGTCCCGTATAATCGCGCGTTAACCGCTGCGTAAACGCGTTACGGTTTCCGCTGAATTGTGCCCATCGCGTAGTGTCGTCGATCTCTCTTGGTGCGATTCGGAGTCGTGTGTTATGAGCCGGGAGGCGAATTATCGAGCCGTGCAATCGTGAGAGATTTCGCCACACGCGGCGCGTTCCTGTCACTTCACCCGCCATCCCTCTCCTCCTCCCCCTCCCTCCCCTCCTCACCTTCCCACCCCTTTTCCGCCCGCTCTCCCTCGTTATTTCGCGTCGCGCGGTTGTGCGTTTCGTCGTGTGTATAACCGGCTCTAATGCAACCGTGTCGCGATTTTACCGCGTGATCGTCGCGGATTTTGATCTCGCGTTCGCGGAAAACGCGAATCTTCGACGTTCATCATATCCGTCTGGAAAAGCTCCGTCATCGGGGTGTCCGCCGAAAGGCGCCGAAGCTCCGTCGGTGGGGGAGGAAGAGGAGAAGGAGGTGGAGGTGGCTCGACATCGTCAAGAGGGCTCGAGAGGGCGACCAACAGAGGATACGGTTAACCGGGGATGGCAGACCGCAGCAAAATGTGAGCATGTTTTTTTTTTTCACTTCACTCTTTCCGCCTGCTTTTTGCCACGTTTGCGTTGCGAGAGGCGAAATGTCGCCGAAAAAGGATATGCTTATACATTAGAAACTTATGCTCGCGATATCGACTATTTGGGGTCTCTTCTTGATTGATATTAATGGTCGACACACGCACATCAACATTGGTTTCGATACATTAGCTATATAGTTTAAACTAACCTGCACGTCAGTTGAAAATATTGGAAATTATTCGTCATTTTCTTTTATATCCCTTTTTTTTTATAATCGAACCTTCTATTTATGAGACCGTGAGATAAAAATCTCGTATTTTTTATATTAAACTTCTCTGGTAAACTTATTTAAGCGTTATTAATGCATTGAAATATTTTTAACAAAACAGTTTCTTATAATCGAAATATTTATGGGAATTTAAAATATCATAATATCTAATGGAAAAACATACAATTATCTTAAAGATTGCTTTAGCTTCGTTTAATTTTCGTTGTAGAACGAGACGAGAATTTCGTTAAATATTGATTAAACTTTGCCGACATTGGTGAAATATATCGTAAAACGAGCTTCTAAATCCATAATGTCCCTTTGGGATACACGTTATTATTCTTCACAACAAAGAAAATGTTAGAACGATGTGGATTAATATACAAGATACTAAAGTTGAAAGTTTGCCAATTGCATCAGAGATTTAATTTTTTTACCATTATATTTTTAAATGTAATTAAATTTATTCGTAATCCGAAGCGGATGTCTATTCCGAATCGTTTCGATCTTTTATATAAATATGTGATTCGCACCGATGTCGTCGAATTAATTTCGAGGAGTGAAATATGTATGTTTTGTGACGTGTCGAAACTCGACACTTTGCTTCGATAGCAAAGTCATCCGATTAATGGATTGACTACGTAGCTATGTGTTTCCACAGATGTGTAAATGCATATGTATACAGGTGAAATTTCGTTACGCATAAATTTATCTGACGTTTTATTATATTTCAAGTAATGACGCAATTCGAGAAAAAAAATTGTTCGATCGAAATAACATTCTACTTGATAATTCCACACAGTAATTCTGCGAAGTTATAAATAACAACATTGTAAAATATGCAGTTAATGGCATATGGGATTAACAACAATATAAAATATGCAACTAACAGTATATATGAAGTTATTAAAAACATCGGGATATCGTCATTTTTATATACGTTCAAAACACGTGTCCATTACAGCAATATTCTGATTACATTAACTAGTGATAATTTATTTTTAACTACGCGCATATGTATGGTTTTAACGCAACACTTTGTCTAGGAAACTATTTCTAACTAATATTTTTTTTTTTAATTTTCTATTCAATTATTTTAATGTAGATTGTTAAATAAAATCCAATTTTATGATATTTCACATTTTCGTAATATCAAGTGTTGATTAATAATGAACATAATACATAGTATCGATAAAAATGGAAGTAATGTTATATATGCAAGTATCAATTTTACATTTTGTATATTAATTAGATCATTATTCCGAATTTATTCATGCTTATTAGAGAGATACAATTTTTTTGAAATCTTAATTTTATTTGACATTTTTAGTTATTAGAATAATTTTGCATATAAAATAATTTTTTACGCGCACGATATCAATATTATAATATAATTTTATTTGTGAATTTTGTTGAGAATAACGCAATCGCGGAAAAACACTTTGGATTTATATAGGCGCCTCTTGTTGAAAGCTGCTTGGAAGTATCTTCCGTGCAAGGATCACGGTCTTTCTACGCCCACGTAATGAGCGCAAAATTATGGGTACTCGTTTGCAGGATTGGTTGCAAAAAATTTGGACCCGTGGCAATGGAACGTATATAAAAATAGATATCAAGAAAAGTTGAAAAAAATTGCATATATTAGAAATATAAATATTATTTATGAAAATAGTTTAGATTTTGAATAAAAAATAGACTGGACTTATAATTTTTTTAATAGCAAAAGCAAAGATAAAATTTAAAAATTGTATACGTATTGTGTGCATGCATGTATATATGCACATATATACATGTATACATATATAAGCATGAACATGCATATATAATATAATACATGTATAATTTGGAAATTTTACTTTAATATTATACTTACTAATACACTGAAAAAAATATTGATTTAAAATTACATGATTATGCTAGGTTTTTTCCAACCCAGCATAATTATGCAATATTGCTACTTATATGGAAGATTACAGATTATATGTAATTTTATATGAAATATATTCAATATTTTCAAGATTAAAAATATTTCACTGAACATTGGAATTACACATAGGAAATGCTATAAAATAATGCTATAAATAAAATGGATAAATACTTATAAAGTTCTAATAAAGTAAAAATAGTAAATTTCAAATTACATATGATTTTTGCATAAAAATAGCAATTTTACCTATATTTTACATGTATTTTTACATTAATATTTTCACTTTAAAAGAAATGGAAAAATAAATTACAGTGATAAGCAAGTAATTTTCCAATTCTGAATTAGTAATTTTCATGTAAAAGTATATGGATTCTTTTCAGTGTATTATGATTCATGGTTAAACAATCGCACGTATTTCTTTGATTTGAATTAAGTTTAAAATAAACTTTATTGTTATCGAGTTTTCCTGTATTTATAAGTTCTGTCATCAAAAGTTTTCTTATTGTCAGTCGTTATTCTTATTGATAATACTAAGTCGTAACTTGTAATAGTGCAGAAGGGGTGCAATACAAATGTGTAGAAGGCATACACCTATCTTTTGCTACGGTCATGGCGACATGCGCGCGTTTTACTGGTTCCGTACGCGTGCACTTTTCTGCAGCTCGCGAATGTGCGCGATAATGTAGTATCTGAAATGACGTTTTGTTATGAATGTCGTTTGCTAGGTAGTTTCAGCACTTTGCATTTTGCTGCATATTTGCATCTCCGGTAGTGATGTACCATGTTTATTGACATACAATTTTCTGCAACGTACGATTGCGTCAAAAAAAAAAAAAACAATCTTTGATCCTCGAAAGAAAAAGACATTTTCAATATATTTAAATAAATTTTCAATCTATCAGTGGCTCGATTACTGAAAAATCTGGTTATTAACATGCAATATTATGTTTGTGATAATCGATAAAAGTTTTCATATATAGAATCTCTGTGCCGCGTAGATAGGTATGTACATTATTAATTGATTTAACAAATCAAGTTTCTTCTTGTGTACATTTGAACGGAATCGAAATGACTAAATCGTATGATATATGTCGAATCGTATTACATATTACGCTCCGCAAGTATGGACTTTATATAACGATCGATATTTGGGCTAGATTTTCTTCGGAAGATGTATACAGTGTCGAGACATTTAGTATACCGGGTGTCTCATGATGAAATATTGAGAAGGATGTTTCGTGTTTGATTTCTGCATGTCAAACAAACTTGACAATTTGTCATCGCGAAAATAATTTAATCATGGAATTGGAAATATAGTGTAACAATATAAATTATTTTATATAATCCTTTGAATATTTTCATAAAGTTATATAATATTTACGTATTATTTTTAACACTTTGTTATAAAACATAATATTAATAGCATATATGATGAATTTTAATATTATCTAAAATTATTAATATTATCTAATAATTATTAATATATTTTTATATTAAGAATTAATTTTTTAATATACATCTTAATTTGTTTTAGTCTATAAATATCAAAAATATGTAATTGCTTGACGAATTTTATTCACATCGATTTTGTTCATATAGACATAATTAACATCTTTCGTTAAACTTGATAATTAACGAGATTCAATTACGAAAACATATTTTCGAAAACCACATGTAACCCTGACCTCTTGTATATCATAATAAGCCGTAATAATTAAATAAGAGACTTTTTAGTCTGGTATATTATCTCTTTTTATCATAAGTTTTTCTACTTGAAAATTCATTTGCATATATTTATTTACACAGACGGTGCTTTATGAGAGAAATTTTTGTTGAAGATTAAATTGTTTTCTCTCGGAATTTAGCACATGTGTACCAGAGAAAAGATGTCAAAATTGTCGATAAATTCTGCTTTTTTTGTTCGCGTATCTTGTACAGTTGCTGTACGTTAATTACGAGCTCCGTTCTAATTCTGCCATCGCTTATCAGTGAATTTTCGGGTATGCGTGTGCTGCAGTTCGTCCTCTGATTACTGTGACCGATAAGTCCTCATTTGGGAAGCTATCAAAAATGTCGAAAATTAATTACATTGTCAGTTCAAAAAAAACTCGATAAAATTTTTTATTTTGTATTTGTGTCGCATTTTGCGTTTTACTTTCTATAGAAACGAGTGTTTATTGCGTGAAGAAAGTTTACGCGAAAGTTTACATTTAACTTTTCAATTTTTCGAGAGAGAAAGAATTCTTCTCGTTAGAGTTTTGTTTCGGATATATAACGCTTGTATTGCGCTTCTTATCTAAATTATTGCATCGTCCATATCTCGTAACATATGATGATGGCGTGAAGAAAAGAGACATAGGCATGAACTTAATGGATATTTAAATGTATATGTAACACGCGACTTCGTGCGCGCAACAAGCGGAGATGTATATACTAATGAATATTTCGTCGCTTAGCTACGCTTGTTAAAATAATTGTTTTTAATGCACTAGCCACGTGCATCGCGCTACCCGAACATTATTCGAATTATACAATTTTATGCAATTAATATATTTGTTTTGTGCACTTAACAAAGAACAGGCAAGAAATGGTTCCTTTCTTCTAAATGGCATGATTAAATCATGATTCTATTTGATAAATTGCTTTTATAGAGTTTTGCTAGACGTTATACAACGACGAAGAGACTATTAAGATTTATTATTCGAATTAATTTAGAAGACATAAATAAATCAAAGGAATTTGAATTTATAATTATAGTAAATAAATTTATTTCTCTATATACATATATAAATTAC